GAGCCCGGCGACAACAACCGGCTGCCCGGCCGCCGCCTCCTTGCTCGATTTCCTCCTCCTGCTTCTTGCGCCGCCCCCGCCTCGGCTCAGCTGCCCGACCTAGAGGAGATCCGAGGGGCGCCGGGCTGCGTGGGTGGGTAGGCGTGTCTCTGAGCACGTGCAGAGTACAATAGAGCGGTGCGGCGGGGAGTTGTCAGGAGGCGAAGGGCAGCTAAAGGGGCCAGGGGCGGCCTTGGCGTCGGCCCCAGGCTTCGTTATTTGTCTGGAGGACTGCCGTCGGCTAAGCTGCTGTCGAGCATATGCAGACAGCTGGGGGGCATTTAAAACAGGGCTTCTCCGGGTGGAGCGGGGCTGGCCTGATTATGACGATGCATCTCCCTCTTCTCTCCCCTTTTAACTTTTTTAAAAGCACACCTTTGAGCCCCGTCCAATCCTGGGTACGCGGCGGGGGCGGGGTTTGAACCAGACCTCCCCTTTCAGGCTGCGGAACCAGGCAGCATCAGCATCGCGCCAGCCGCTGCTTTTTTTTCTAAATTTGAAAAGCCAAGTTTCCAGTCCTCATTGTGCAGGGCGAATGGGAAGGCTGCTGAGCCTAGCAACGGCACAGAGGTGAGTCACGGCAGCGGGCCAGCCGGCGGCCAGAAGCGTCCTGTGGGCTCAGCGTCCGCTTGTCACCCTGCCCCTCCCTCTCCCCCCCCCCGCGAGCAGAAGCGAGGGGAATTATGCCTGGTCAGCAAGCCCAGGCCGATCCCTGGAGGAATGCCCCGTGGCCGGCACGTGGGCCCATGGGAGGGGGCTTCCAGGGGCCGAAGGCTCTGCAGAGAGCGGGCGGCTTGGAAGGGGCAAAAGGGGCACAGCCTGGCCCGGGGGGGAGGAGGAGGCTCTGCCCCTCAAATAGGCCCCATCCTAAGAGGGAGCCAGTTGGGCCCAGCAGGGCCTGTATTGATGGGGAAGGGGCGGAGGGTCCCGCACCTTGGAGAATACAAGGGGCCTCCTGCCCGTCTCCAGATTTTGGCTAGGCTGGTTGAGCCCACGACTCCCTCTGGCCGTCCTCCACTTAGGATGCGGGACTCTGCCAGTCTGGTGTGGCGAGCGATGCTCCCTCCGCCCTGCCACAGGTGCGCTTGGTGGGGACTCGGGAGAGGGGTGTTCTCTGTGGCTGCTCCAAGACTTTGGAACTCCCTCCCACTGGAGGCCAGGCTGGCCCCCTCTTTGCTGCCCTTCCACAAGGAGGCAGGTATTCCCTTGATGACTCCCTGCTTTGCATCTGTTTCTGGTGCTTTTATTTCCCGCATCCTAGGGTGGCATTTGTCCTTTTAGCCTTCCTGAACCCCCAGCCCCAGAAGGGCAAGCCAGGGTGGCTGCAAAGTATGAGAGTCGCAGGAGAGCCCGTGGAGCGGGGTGGGTGGGGCAGCACTGGGAGAAAAGCGGGGGGGGGGAGAGAGAGAGGAGTTCAGGAAGATGACACACAGATTTCAGTCGTTACTAATGCTTCCGGACGACAGCTCAGCTAATGACAGGGCGAACTGAATGCTGTGCGGAGAGGCAGGCACCCTCATCCCATCACCATGGAAACCCCATCCTTTTTCTCCCCTCCCCAAACCTTTCCAGGAATCAACCAGGCTTATTTTCCCCCACAGGGTGAAAAGGGAAAAGAACAACCAGTTTAAGAAAAGGCAAGGTTTGCTTTTAACCAATCCTGGGTGCAGGTTCTGTGAAACCGAGCCGCCCCCCCCTTTAGCTTAGCGTGGCCCCCTTCCCTTCGCAGCCCAAGGTCTGGGGAGGAGATGCAGTGGCAGCGGGTGGAGGTTTTGACATCCTTTCTGGGAAAGGGCAAGACATTTGGGTGCAATAGGGCACCCCAAAATCCGGCACCATATACAGGATCTCCAGCAAACCCAGCACAACACCCTCTTCTCCTCTGACCCCACAGGAACCAAGTGACGGTCTCGGGTTGTGTGGGGGGCCAGCAGTTCAAAGGCTGGAAGGAAACTCAGGAGACAGGAGTCCAAACCCCTCACCTGGTCATGAAGCTCCCCAGGTAACCTCAGGCCAGTGACCTGCCCCATAGGGCTGTTGTGAGGGTACAGAAAAGCCCCACGCTGCCACCGTCTCTTTGGAGAAAAAGGGATCAGATCACTAAAGATATTCACCAAGCAGAGTCGAACCAAGAATGGGGTAGAGAACGGAGAGACCAGCCCTTGTCACCTCCTTGTAAACCACGCTCTCTGTCCCAGGCAAGGCTAAGTCAAGGGCTGCTCGGACTTGAAGGTGGCTCTGCTGTGTGTTACATCCTGGAAAAGGGATTCATCCTGAGCCACGCTGAACAAGATGCTGAAGGGCGTCCAAAGGGAAGGCTCCGCTCCTGTTATCTTGCCGAGTCCCAGAAGGTGGAACCCACAGAGGAGCAGAGGGAGGCTCCTCCTTCCATCTCCCAGCACCGAGGGGTTATTTGGCAGATGGCTGTCGAAGAGAACGGCAGCTCTTCTTCGGGGCTGCGGCGCTCCTGTCTTTGGGGGCGGAGGGGGGCAAGGTAGACCCAGGCCCCATCCCTGCTCACTTTTAGAGGAACCAACAAGGCTTCTTGGAATACTGCCTACCACACTGGGCGGCCTTTTTGAGTCTTACACAGTTAAGTGATATGTTTGAGCCTACGGTTGTTTTAGCAGTCTTGTAAGGGGACTTGAAGGCTGTGTGCCCAAAGCCAGGACAGATTCTTTAGAAGGCCGGGGGGGGGGGAGAGAAACTGAGACTGGGTGGGGGCTTTTGGAGACGCCAGAAAGCAGCTTTTGGTGGGAAACTCAACCTCCATAGAGGGAGCTCTACCGCCTGTCATAAGCCGCTAGAGTAGTCCTGAGTTGACTAGATAGGCGGGATATAAAATAAATAAATAAATAAATAAATAAATTAGAAGCCTGGGGATTGAACCCAGAGAATCACAGAATCAGGAAGTTGGACGGGAACTCTAAGGCCATCAGGTCTGACGCCCTGGGAAATTGGACGAGGGATAGAGTTGGGACAGACATGGGGAGAGCAAGCATTAAAACTGCACAAGACCACAGACCAACTGCCTCGGGCCGTATTTAAGGAGAAAAATGGGATAGAAATATTTTACTGTATATGAATAATAAAATGGACATCAGTATGGATGTCTTTTAAAAAAGGACTGGGATAATTCTGGGAGGGGGCAATGTATCTTCTCCAACGGCACAGGCAAGATGCCTGTGAAGACCACTTAGTAGAGGACAGTACATGACCAGGAGAAGGGGACCAGATTCACACTTTGGGGACATTCCCAGCAGCCCCTGGCTGGTCCTTGCACGGGCAGAAGGCTATACCAAAAATGTCTTTGATCTGATCGACCTTGAAGTGTGCCAGGCTTTGGCGCGCATGCACACACACTCACACACAGAGACAGAAGTGTGCATGTACAAAGCTGCTCTGAACAATGTGGAGATTGATGGTTAACCCTAACCCTATCCTGGACAGCTTTAAAAGAGGATTAGATTATTACGGATGGCCTCCCATCCGGAGGATGGCTACCTGCTCCCCCCAGGATCAGGGACCGGGTACCTCTCGACTGCGCTCGCTGAAGAACAGCTGCCTTCCTGTCCTGCTCTGGGCTTCCCAAGCAGATCTGCTTGGCCATCCCATCAATAATAGGCTAGGCTGGATAAGCTTTTGGCCTGATCCAGCTTCCAGACTCGTCTTACACGCCGGGCAGACCGGCAAGGTCTTTCAGGCCCTCCTTGTGACTTCCGAGGCTCAGGTGTCTGCCTTGTTGTTTGGAAAGAGTGTGCATTCGGAAGCTCACTCATCTGCTCCTCAAGGCGGTACAGATAAAACTCAGACCTGGGTAGCCAAGGAACGTCCTGGAATCATTATCACTGGAGAACACACGTTTCTGCTGTGAGATGCCTACTCAGTGCATGACTGGGGGATGCTTGTAAGGTCTGAATCACATCCGATATGCTGCTGCTGGGCCAGCACGTACACAGCACACCGCAAGTAAGGAGAGAGACAGGGTAATTTAAAAACGCACCATCAGCCTTACGTTTGGAAAAGAAGAAAAAAAGAACACTTTATATAGGACAATCTGTTTCACAGCCTTAAACTGGAAAGAACATTTGCATCCAGAGACAGGAAAAAAAAATAATAATCCAGAGGGATCTGGGTGACAGACACCTTTGTAACAGTCATCTGCTCAACTACAGACTAGAAGCCACCGAATCCAAGGTCCCCCAGCCGCTCTCCCTTTGACGAGCCTCCAGGGAGATTACTGGAATTGGGGACAGATTGTTTGCAGAAGCATGGGGTGGTGAGGGGGGGAGGCAAGCCGTGAGGGGTGCGGAACAGACAAAAGATGACAGTGGGCTGAAGTAATAAATAACAAAGTTAAACATTACACTGTAAAAAAGACAATCACAGTCCGAACAAGATAACCTCCCATCCCTTCATCTTGGACACCGAGGAGCAAGGGGAGGCGGGGGGGGAGGGTCAGCTGAAGGAACTGATCTGCAGGGATGGGCAGGCAGGAGGGGGAAGTTTCCTTCCAAACTGACCAGTAAGGCATGCAAGAAGTCTGGGCTGAAATATTCTAGCAGGAGACAAGAAACCAGAACTGTCCCCAGTTATCTGTAAAACTAGGAAGATGTGGGGTGGGGGGTTGTTCCTCAGACCCTTAAGAGGCACATTGGCTCTCCAGCATAAAAGCAAACATCAGACCTCACATCCATCATCAGAAGTCAATGGGAACCCTCCAGTCCTCCTCTTGGTTTCGCACCGATTTTTGGTGAACTTTCCCTAACCATCTCTGCCTTCCTGAGTAGACCCTTCTTGGTGTGTTCCGGAGGGCGTGGTGAGCACACAGACCAACTGACTGAGCGGGTTTCCCTAAGAAAAGCCGTTCTGGTCCACGACACTGGCAAAAATGTCCCATGGTGGCAGCGACAGGCTGGGAGGGAACAGGGTGGGTAAGAAAAGCTGTGCTGGGGGGGGGAGTTAGCACCAAGCCACCAAGCCTTGGCTCCTTAAAAAGGAATGAGGGGGGGAGGAAATAATCATGGTGGTGGAAATGCTTCGTTCACCATTCTCTTCTTTCAAAGAATCGTTGCCCCTGCTCCCACCCCACATTCACGACCGATCTGCTTGCACTGCTGAGATTTGAAAGAGGCAGGCCTGAAAACTAGATGAAGGCAGTTCCATTTGAGGGGAGCCTTACTCACAGGGAGAACTAAAGGGACATGGAAAACTCTTAACAGTTCCAAAGGGGAGGGAGAAGACACCTTTTTTTTGGAGGGGGGGAAGGGGCCCATCCTAAACTCCTGGGCTTTAAAATCTCACAAGCTGTTCATGCTCGGTCAAAGGTTTTAAAGCAGGTGAAGCTTGCTTGCCACACTTCGGACAACCGACAAGGTAACAGCAAGAAAGAGCTGCAAAAGGTACAGGAAGATGACCCACCTGCGAGGCCACCCACCTTCCTCCACGATAAGAGAGCCGGTCACGTAGGCAGTAGCTCCTACTCTGAAGACCCGAACTCCCTGCAAGCCGCTCAGACCAAAAAAGAAAAACTCAGTGACTTGTCTGATAACAACCACACAAAAAGGTTGCTTCTCATTCAAACAACAACAGACACAAGAGTGGGGAGGATGCAACCGTTCAGCCAGCCAAGCCAGCAGGCCCCCCACCCCCTTGCTGCAGACTTCGCTCAGTCACTACAGCCCCAGGAAGAGAAAAGGCCGGGCCAGGGGGGGTAGGCTGAAAAAGTACCTGTAAAATGTGCATATCTATGGCTTTCGTCAAACAGAAGAAATGCCCTCAGACTAGGGGCACCGAAGAATGGAACACCCACACCNNCCCAAACACCCCACCGCGGGGGGGGGGGGAGACTGGCAAATTCAGGCTGGAGCCCGTGTACTGGAAAGGCAAGCGCAAAGAAAAAGGGGATGGGGTGGTTCATTTGGTTTTGCTACCACGGCAGAATATCCCCCATTTACGGACAGCGGTAGGAGCAGCCCCCATTCCAGGCATCGAGAACTGTCTGCTCTCACCAGCCCAGGAGAAGTCATGCCCACCTCTTTAGAAATGATGGACCGCAGTGTCGCGCTCAAAGGGCGAGAGAAATTAAATATCTCAACATGACACAAAGACCTCTTTCTCACCTACAGGCCAGAATATCGGGCTCTCCTTCTTCAGCCAGAAGCAGCCACAGCATGCAGAGGAGAGTTACCTGGTGGGGAGGGAGTGTGTGTGTGTGTGTGTGTGGAGGACCCAACTCCTTCCCAGAGCCCCTCTTCCTGCCTTTCTTAAGTCGGGGGGGGGGAGGCTCACTGACCTCAAGGCTTTTAACAATCAAGTGGTGCCGAAGAGAAGGGCTTTCACCCACAAAAGCCATCAGGACGTTTCCCTCCCAGACCTCCTGCAAGAAAACCTGTCTGAGAACAGAACCTGGGATCCTTCTCATCAGGAAGCGGGAGGGGAGGGGAGGGGATGGGGGGGACGGCGCAGGAGTCCTTAGAAAGCAGGAGGGCTTCAGCCAAAGAGGCCCACAGTCCTAGTGATGGGACGGAGGAGAAGAAGGTGCTTCGTACAGCCCTGGTCCACAGCAGCCGAGTTCCAGCACTGAAGAAGAAAAGAGAGAAAGCAACAAAGGAAGGGGGCGGGGGTCAAGGAAGAAGGGGTCAGAACGAGCAACAGAGCGCCAGCCATTGAGAAAACCCGCCCAGGGACAGTCCCATTGGACCCTCTGCTCAAGTGCCTTTCCGTCCATCCCCATTACCGGTTCTGGTGGTTTGGTCCCACTTTTAAATGCCCCAGATCTCTCCTGTGGAACCCTATAGCTCGACAGCACCACGAGAGTCCTTTGCTGGCCCATGGCTTGGTTGTTAAAGCCCGCCGCCTACGACGGAACAGCTGCGGGGCGGCCACTGGCTGCCTGTCTCCCCCAGTCTCATTTCAGCAGTTTCCCCAAGGAAGGAAGCTCCCACTTCCTCTGGAGCTGCTGTTTGGGGCCCGCTATGCTCCTGGCAGGGGGGGTGCCTCCTCCCCCGAAGAGCCTCCCTGTCAACCTTCCCTGCAGAAAGCTTCCTGGAGGGGCAGGGGCTGGATCCTGGCAAGGCCAAGGACGGATCAGGCTGCCCGAGGTTTACCTTGCAAGCCGTTTTTTTCAGGCATGCTTGAATTCCAGCTCTAGCAGTTACACTGCTGCCTGGTCTGTGTCTGAGCCCCTCGGGGTTGCCGCAGCTGCCGCAGGGAAGCGTCCCCGTACTGGATGCCGGAGCCCATCCGCTCTGGATCAAGTTCACCTGGTGGAGAGGCAGGGAGACAGAGAGAGTGAGAGGTGGTCCCAAACATAAGGGGAGGCGGCCCCAGTTTTCCAACCCAGGCTCCGAAGTGAGTCTCTAGCCATCCCCCTCAGGCAAGAGGTCTCAGGACTCGGCCAAAAGAGGCAAAAGCCAAAATAGCAGCTCCTCTCTAAGCAGATATATTTAAAAAACTAAAATTAATTCTAGACTTTCAGAGGGTTCTTCATTGCTCTGGTTACAACTATTGTCTATTGTATTGCTATATGGTTTTTGAATGGTTTTTAAATTTATTCTGGGGTATTGTAAGCTTTAATCTTGTGAAAACTGCCCACTAATGGGGCATTCTATAAACGGAATAAATAGAATAAAATTAAACTTTTCCAGCTGGTAAGCAGACTTAGAATGCGTTTGACCTCTTTGGCGCTCAGCTGTCGGAAACATCCCATTCCCTTCCAAAACCATCCTATGGCTTCCAATGAGAACCCCTGTTCCTTCTTCGCCTGCGCAAGGAGGAATATGGCAAATGGGCTTCGTCTGGACCAGCTTCTCAGCCCCATCCTGTCCACCACCACAGGCAGGAAAGGCTTGCCAAGATCCAGGCTAAGGACAACAGGAAGCGCCACTGCTTTTGCACACACACAGAAACCTGGCCAGTTTGGCCCTTTTCTCCAGGGGTCAAGTCAAGACCCACCTGATTCTATTTTGTTCAGTATAGTCCGGGCACATTTCAAGAAAGCTTCTTCTACATTCTCCCCGGTCAAGGCGCTGGTCTCGAGAAACATTAATTCTGCCAGTTAAAAAAAAGCAGCACAGGATAAGCTGTCTTGCAAGTTAAGTCAAAGCACGAACAGGGGAACTAAAAGACTTTCCTCCCAGCTCTGAAGGTGAATTTTCTTCATGGAAGACTCAGAAGCAACGGCCTGGCTGATCTGTAAGTCAGCAGAGCTTATAATAAATGCCAGGTCTCTTTGCTCCAGTTCTCCCACCACGGCCACCTCCTCCTTTCCCAAGCCGGAGGGCAGCTGGCTCATGACAAGGCTTACTTTTTGTGACCACAAAAGCAGGCAAGCCACCCTGTTACTTATTAACCAGCCAATGGGCGCGTCCATCAAGCACCCAAGCTTCCTTCTACAAGGAGAGGGAGAAAGAGGGGCCCAGAGGTCTCCATCCTCCAGACCTCCAGCAACCCCTGCTGGAGAAGCCAGGGCACACCTCCACCTGGTCCGCCGGTGGTTTGGCTCGTGTTGATGCCACCGAAAGGATAACACAGGAAGGAAAACAGGGGCACGCCCATGAAACAACTCTCTGCACATCAAACAAGCAACTTTTAATTTGCAGGGCTGGGCCAAAGGCACCCTTACATTTATTTCTAAATAAAGGTGGATCATCACTCATGGAAGATAACAGGCACTAAAATTTAGATAATTTGCAGGAGCTGAGCATTAAAAAAAACCATCCATCTTTATCAAGCCCATCCTGTGCAGTTTTGTTTTTTTCTAGGTTTACTTGGTGCTCAGAGCAGCCTCGAGGGAGTCCCGAAGTAGGGAACCTGACCCCTTTTAACTGCCCATTCTACAATCTGGGAGGACAGGCTGGGCCCAGAGCAAGGACTCGGATCGGGGAGGCAGAAAGGAAGGACACGCACGAGCCGAGGGGTCCATTTACCATGGCTGCCGACCCCCCACCCCTAAAAAAGTTACCGTTTTCCTGAGCGAAACGAGAGGCTTCCAAAAAAGTGACTTCTCGGTCAGCATCAAGATCCTTCTTGTTACCGCAGAGAATTATGACTATGTTTGGACTGGCCAGAGTCCGGGCATCGGTTAACCAGTTGGTCAAGGCATTGTACGTCTCCCTGCTGTCAAGGCAGAAATAAAAAGGGTTCTTTCAGGCAGGCAGGCGGGAGGGAGAGGTGAAGGGAGCCCACCCCCAGCAAGCTCTGAGGAGGAGAGCTTTCTACCCCGTAACCACTCTGCCCCACACCAAGCAGCAGGAAAGAAATCTTCAGCAGCTATGGAGGTATCCTGTTCCTCAAAGCTCATTCTACTGTATCACTACATCCTACACTCCAGGGTCACTTGGGGGGCGGGGGGGGAGCATCTCCTGCCAGATGTGCCTTACCACCCCTCCCCCTCCAAATATGGCAGAAGAGCCCCCAAACCCTGGAAGAGTTGAAATCATGCATGACTGTCCCTCAAAACTCCCTGCAATGCCTGTGGCGGAAGAAAACAGATGCAACAGGAGAGACCCACCTGGTAATGTCATAAACCAAGAGGGCTCCGGCTGCACCCCGATAATAGCTTCTTGTAACAGACCTTCAGAGAGAAAAGCAGCCAAGGTTCAGGGGTAGAAAGGAAAAGCCAGGATTCAGATAAAGGTTTCCTAGACGTTTGTCCTATGGCCATCCCCTCCCAATCTGCTCTCCTGGAACATTTTACAGCAAGGAATGTCACAGAACAATTACGTGTTGAGCGAAGACAAGCTTCGGTCCTCCACCCTTCAGACAACACCCTCCTCACCCACATGCCCTGGATCCTGGCATTACAACGCAGGGAGAAAAGGTTCCACATGGATGCCATGCCTTACCGAAACCGCTCTTGCCCGGCTGTGTCCCAGATCTGGAGCTTCACCGTTTTGCCACCCACATTCACCACTTTCGATCCAAATTCCACCCCAATGGTGTGATTGGAATCCTGCTTGACTGTAGAAACGGACAGAGAGGGGGTGGATACAAAAACAAGCACCGTGCAGAAGGGGTGAAGAAGTTGCCCCACCCTTTCTGAAAAGAAGAAGAAGAACTCACATTTGTTCTCTATGAACTGATGGAGGAGGCAGGATTTCCCTGTTCCAGCACTTCCGATGACCAAGAACTTGAAGAGGAAATCTGGAAGGAGGTCAAAAGACAGTGCCATAACATTAACCCCCTAAAAGAGCAGAGGAGGTGGGAAACAACCGGTCAGACCACCTACGAGACAGACAGCATCCGAAGCTAGCAAAGGTCAAAACGCAGACTGGCATGGTGAGAGGATGAAAGGGGTCCCAACCATCCAGCAGCAGGAAAATCTAAGCTGTAAACTATATAAAGCAGCGGTAATCTGCCACCAGTAAAAACACGACGGGCTCAATAGCGAACACTTTGCTGCCTTTTTGTGGGTGCTCAAAACCTGCTTTTTGCAGCACAGCATCTCAGCCTCCCAGTTTTGGTGGAGAAAGATAACAAGATATTCTGGAAAAGCAGGGGCACAAAATCCGAGCACCTGGGCTGCTCACTTCCCTCTAACCCTGGCGGCCCATCAAGGCAAGAGGGGGGGGATTTCCTGCAGGGAACATCGAACTCAGCAAGATACACAAGCAGGACTGAGAAAGCATCTGTGCTTTGGTAACCAATCAAAGTCTTAGAAACACACTGCCAATGATCAGAAGCCAGCGTGAAGCATGCAAGTGCTGAGCCCTGGACAGGGCTGGTGAGAGACCCCAGGAATGACTTGGTGCTACTGTCATCGTTTCAGGACCTGAAGGAGTCACAGCAACAGGCAGCTGCTCCTATGCAGCACTAGTTAAGCCTCACTGGAAGCATGAGAGTAGCTATTTTTAATTTAATTTCTTGCCCAGAGTTCTGTGGCAGCTTTACGTTTGACTCAGCTAGTGGGGCGGCTGTCCTAAGCCAGAACCAACTTCATCAGACTAGTCTAGAAACATACTGGACAGCACCGAGAGATGCCAAGTGGCCAACAATAACGAAGTTTATAAGGCACAGAGAACTTAAAGGGGGGTGGGTGGGATGCCCAAAGGTTGCTAGGAGATTATATACCCCACCTCATGTCACCATGAATACATCCGATTTCATCTGACTTCAGAAGCTAGGCAAGGCCTGGGCTCCTTGAATGGGAGACTGCAAAGCATCTCCAGGTAAGGCGAGGAATTGCTGGAGAGCCATGGCAGCAGGAGAAATGGACCCAGGGTAAGACTCCAGTTTAAGGCAGTTTGCTGTGACATAGGAGAAGTGTTTTTAAATGTACCTTCATTGCCCATTCCAAAGCATTGGTCTTCAGGCCTGAGAATGTGCGCTTAAGCCACGTCCGACTTGCCACAAGATGAGTTTACCTTATCTTTCCCCTTGGAGAGATCTCTCTGCTGGTTGGTGCAGGCTAGAGAAAGCTCTATGCGGTTTTAATGAAAACACATTTACAGAAGGAAAGGATGACATTTGACCAAATGAATGAGTCACTCACCAAACCCCTGCGGGGCTGCCTCAGCACCAGAATCAATATTGACAACCCCAAGTAGGTGCAAAACACGTTCCCGGGGAAGTTTCTCTGCCACAGGGCAGTTCCTCCCTCGCCGTCCAGAGCCACCCATAACAGCTTTCCAGCTTAACCATAAAAGCAGGCAGAACCTCTTGTGCCTCAACTCACACTGAGGTCATGAGTGTCTTTTGCCCTCAATCTATACCCACTTAGCTTGTATGAAAACAAACACTCCCTAGAAGGATCAACACCATGAAGTTTAAGATAAGACTACGTCACTTAGCAATAATAAAAATTCCAGCTCATGATTTATTCACCCCTTTACCTTCCTCTTCTATGCGCTAGGAAAATATTTGGGGTGCTCTCACTACAGGCCGCCATGGGATGCAAGGAAGCCATGAAAGGTACGAAAATATGTCATTCCACCCACTTCAAGCAACAAATACTGCAGGAAAGATGCGCTGAAAGCTACTACCACCCTCTCAGAATAACCCCTGGAGATGGTGGCAGAATCTAAGAGCCTCATTAAGTTCATTTTTCCCCCATTCAGGGTCATCCCACCTTTATTTTTCTAAGGTCCCACTCTGCGCATATATTTTTGTTTTTAGCACTATTGCACACATTTCCCAAATGCCATTGGGCTCAGGCAGCCAAAGATGAAAAATGGCAATTGAAAAACTGTATTTTTAAGGTCTTCGTCTGCTCACAGCATGAGACAAGGATAAGCAACTGCACCTTCAGATTAAACAGCCCCGTATCTGGGGGATGCCCCCCTCCAAGTGAAAGCAATGGCTTAGCACATTCACCAAAGCATTTAATTTCAAAGGCTACAGTATCAAAAACTTGTTCTACCAGTATTCGTGGCAGGGGCTCCATAGCATTTGCTTCCACAGGAGTGCTGTTTGAATCATTACAGTATATGAAATATTAAATGGCAATGCTTTGACCCTCAACATCTGTCTCTCATAATCACCAGTTCTACCCTCAAAGTACCCTCAGGGCAAGCAGCAAAAAGCCCTTGACCTAAACTTTTCAAGCTCAACCACCAATACTGGCTTCAGACCCTTATCTGTCCTGGGAGTGTGGTTCACTCTTCTGCGGGATCGCACACATCTGCCGTGCAGGCGATCAGGGTATAATTATGAAGGCATCTTCACGGGTAAACATGATGCATCTCGCCCGCTCCCTCCTCTGTGGGTTTTTCCCAGCATCTCCAACCGGCGGGCAAGGGGTGGGGGGGAGCCCCTGAGACCCCCTCCATGGAAGGCAAGGAGCCTCTCTCTCTCTCTCTCTCTCTCTGTCTCTCTCACACACACACACACACACACACACACACACACAGAGCAGCTGAGGCTCAGCCCTGCTTGGCTTCTGGGTGCATACAAGAGGAAACACAAAAGGAAAGTAGTTGAAACAGATTCACTTTTTCTTCTTAAGAAAAGAGAGATTGAGAAACCACAGCCCAACTTCCTGGGTATTTTTGCACAAGTTTTGCTGCTCTGCTTCAAAGCAACCCTTTTTTGCAGGGCTCTGGGGGGGGGCGAGCGCCTGCTGCTGCCGCTGCTGCTGCTGCTGCCTCCTGCTCGGGAGGAGAAAGCAAGAAGAGGCGGGGGCCCGCTCGGGGCAAGGCGGCCTCGCCCTTCGGCCCTCCGAGAGGGACCAGGCCGGCCAGGAAGCCCCCCCACCCCAAACC